TGGCCTGTTATGTGTTAAAAAGTTGAGTTTTTAAATTATCGCGATTACTGACGTTTTCTCGTTATAAAAAAAATGACACCCTAACGATATTCTTATAATTCCATTTCAGATGCTCAGAAATATGTCTAATGATTTTATCTAGTTATCTCTTGAAAAAAAAGTCTTTTAAAAATAAGCGGTTTGCGATCGTCATTTTACTTTACTTGGTAGGGAAAGGCGTATCGGCAACGCCGCAACAGTACACCGTCGCGCGTCGCTTCGGTCGGTCGCATTTCTCTCACTCCGACTTAATAAGATCCCTATGCGATTTACTTCCACACATGTAAATGCCGACCCAAAAGTAACAGTTGCCAGCACGGTATAAAACAACCCCAGAGTTCCCAACTGGCAATGGAGTACGATATAGGGAGACGTGATATCCCCAAAACTGTTTACAGTAACACTAAAAGAAATTTTCCGTCAACTGGATTGGCCCAACAAAGGATTAAAAATAGATGGAGAATATCTTATTATCAATAAGATAGATTGCAAATAGTCCTGAAGAACTACAAGCACAAGTTAACGAACTAAATAAAGGAAAAAAAAACTACTACTAAAACTAAACTACTAAGAACTAAATAAAAAGGAAAAAAAAATAGCAAAAATAAGGAAATTGCAGGTCGCACAATGCTCAATGGAACGAAATATGCTGGGAATAACCATAAAAGACCGTAAAAGAATAGAGTGGCTAGGACAAAAGACCTAGGTAATAGATTTCATCCACAGAATCAAATCCCTTAAGTGGCAATGGGCAGGACAACAGATGGTCCTGAAAAATTACAGAATGGAACCCACGAGGAATTAAAAGACCTAGAGGAAGACTAGAGGATAACTTGAACCCGCATACTAGCCAACAATAGACAACAATGGGCCCAACTACAAAGAGAGTATCTAAATATGTGAGGGAGGCTACACCCTAATTGGAAATGGTTGAATAATCTTGAATAAGAAATGAAAGTGATGATGATCATGATATAGAACTAAATCCGCTATAAGAGAGACAAGGATACATTAAAATACGCAACCAACCGTCATTGAACCGTCCAATCAGATCAAAGGAGTAATCGTTGTAGATCGTGCGTTATCGATGATGTTCGGTACCTGGAGAAAATTGACAATTGACAAGAGAATTAATTGTTTATTATTTTTGACTTTTTAGTTCGTTTAATTTAATAATTACTAAAACCAGTAGTTCGAAAGATATATTTAAAAATAAAAGATAAAAATCCAAAAATTAATTATCTATTAACGTGGATTTGGACGACAATAGGTAAGAACACTAAATTATTTCTATATTCGATATAAACTTGTTTATTAGGTTTTTAGTTTGTGATGTTTCATGTGATGATCATTTTCATGTTCATCGTCTTTGAATTGACATGAGGATATCTATGGAAAAGTAACTAATCTGAAAGTAAGCCAACATATCGTTTGTCCTTTGTGTGCTAAAGAAAAGATTTTCTTTTCGCATCGTGAGGAAGTATTACATCAATTAAAAAATGTTAGGAAGTTGATTACTTGTCATGGAAAAGTATACCAATGGAAATTATTTGTTAAAGAAGTATAATTCTAAGGGTAAATTTTATTATAATTAGTAACCTGTCTATTTTTTATATGTAGATGTTTCAGGTTTTAAGAATAAATTGGTTGAACCCAAAATCTGGAGGAAGTACCTATATCCATACACAGAATATGCCCATTAAGAATACTAGTCCAAATTTGCTTTAATGGTAGGCAATTATTCAATACAAATTAACTTTTTAAGTGACTGAAATATTAAATAGTTTAGAATATGGTATAACAATGTAAAAAAATACTATTTTCAGGAACGATTAGGGCCCGATATATTTGAAACTCATGTTGGACATAGTATTGAGTTGGGTAGAATATTATTCTACGTTAAGTGAGGATATCAGATACCTATTATTGTACTGTATTTTAATATATACATTAGAATTGTTGGTTTTTTCATATTTGTTTTATATATTATTTTACTTACAAGTTATATAAAGTTAACACTAAAATCTACTTTTTGACTTATATAAGTTAGTCTGTGGTTTAATGCGTGATTACATCCACATTATGATTTCAAGTTTTTAAAATATAAATATTATAACTGGCTTTAAAAACTCCATTAAACTGTTAAAAGTGTAATTTATTTCAAAATAAATATACATATACCTATACCTAGGTATATATAAATATCGAAAAATATATATTAATATCGAAAGACATTTTTATTTCCTTAACACCAATTTAATAATCACATACATATGTATAAACATTTATTTGCGTTATTTCAAATGAAGACCACAGGAAAAACCAGCTTTGTTCATTTTAACTGGAGCCGAGAAAATGCAATTACGAGTGAACTACTCTGGTTTTTCTCCTGTAGGGCAAAATAACTAAGCTGTAATATCTCTAAGCATATTATTATTGCTTTCTTTGATGGTGCCTCGAATAATGCTAACACTTGCCTATAAAATTGTCTCGCTATCAATTTCTATGAAAATGTAACATATTATCTGGTTTTTTCCGTGTAGTCTTCAAATGATCTAAAAATTCAGCAGGAATGATCCATTATGCAGCAAACACACTGATGTTGAATCATTGGAAGCTTTTTTGTGGGTATTTCACAAATAAAATCAAATGTCTGATCAAAAACTGAAAATGCAAAACAGATAGTAAGCTTTATAAATACATACATATATATATATAAATAATCATACCTACATCTATTTAAGTCGTACAATCCAACCGATATTTTAATATCCTAACCCAAGTAAATAATCAAAAATGCACTTTTTATATCAAAAGCAGTAATGTTACCAAGGGTTCCAATTAATATCCAGGATTTAAAAAAACACGATCCTAATTCTTATTATTTTTCTAAATACGTATTGTCTGATAGGCAATTACAAAATATAAATCTGATGTAAATAGAAAAATAAAGTAAAAACTGTAAAAACAGGTAAAAACTCTTCGGTAAAAACAACAACAAAAATTCTAACCAAAGATTTAACCGTCATACGACATGAGCATCACGTGATTGCACAATACCCAACGATACGGTACGTACCTCTTTCATCTGATTGGACGGTTGGTTGCGTATTTTAATGTATCCTAGAGAGACAATAGTATATAGTACTTCTGAGGACAATTGGAAACATTGGGACTCTTAGTTAGATTATCCAGACTATGCCGACAATGGCGCCCACAAATAGTGTGGAAAAATTAAGGGTTTCATCCTATTCCAGTTGACTCCGGAAAAACTATAGCTAGTTTAACGCATCTCAATGAAAAAATAAATAAATCTAACATGGACACTATATTAATATTGACGACTCCTTTAAGGCTACTGTCTCTAATAAGGTCAAAGTTGAATTGCGCTGATATTCCATCAAAATTGGCAGAAATTCTGTTGCCGATTAAGGTAACTGTTACTTTCATTAAAAAAAATCAAAAATCCTTATTCGTGTTGCCCACCTTCATTCTAACAGGTAGGCAACAGCGTTCAATAGAATTGGGTGAATATACAGGGTGGTCCGAACTGTATTCCGGAAACTTCAACAGCATATTCTGCAGATAAAAATAAGTAAAAAAGTTCGTATAAATGTCCTAAGATGCTTAGTTTCAGAGATACAGGGTGCAGAAGTTTCATTTTTATTTCGATTTTTTCTAAATAATATCTAAAGTAACGTCAATATTTGGATGAAAATTGGGGCCTGGGAGTTTTTTGACATGAGAAATTTTGATTTTGATGTCAATATGACTCATACTAGTAGAGGGCGCCACCTACATGTATTTTAAGTGTTTTGAAGCGTAATAACTTTTTGTCCGTACCTGTATAAAACTACCGAGTGAAAAAATATACATCTCTGTGACTTTTTATGTAAAAAATATCTCTTTGTAAAAATCGCTACGAGCAACCGTTCTTAAGATATTTAGAATTGAAATAGTCAATACATGCCATTATTGACGAAAAATAAACACTCTGAGTAGATAGTTATTTCACCGAAATAATAAATTTGGAAAATATTTATTTTTTTAAATTAATCATAAATTTTTCTGCAAAAAATGATGATAAAACAGTTTCTGTTGAACTTTTGGCACAAAAATATTTCAAATTTATGATTTCAGTCTAATAACTATTTAGTCAACATGTTTAATTTATGTCAATGATGACAGGTATTGATAATTTCCATTCGAAATATCTCTAAGACCATTACTTGTAGCGATTTTTACCAAGAGACCTTTTTCACGTAAAAAACGTCGTAAATGTATATTTTACTCAGTAGTTTTATACAGGTACGGACGAAAAGTTATTACTCTTTAAACTAGTTAAAAAACATGTAGATGGCACCCTCTACTAGTAGGAGTTATATTGACATGAAAATCAAATTTCTCATGTCAAAAAACTCCTAGACACCAATTTTCATCCAAATATTGACGTTACTTCAGAAATTATTTGGAAAAAATCGAAATAAAAATGAAACTTCTACACCCTGTATCTCCGAAACGAAGCATTTTAGGACATACATTTATACGAACTTTGTTACTTATTTTTATCGGCAGAATATGCTGCCGAAGTTTTCGGAATACAGTTCGGACCACCCTGTATAGTTATAAGAGAGATACATAATTACGAGGACCAAATTAGTAATATGAAATAAAAATTGTAAAATTGATTGACTTGATCTCCAAAAGATGCACACTCAAACAGTATGATTTTAGAGGCTCCTTCATTCTACAGTCACAGTAACTATTGTCCTTAACATTTCTTCTATAAAGATAAACTGAACAGTGAAGGGAATGACCACTTTTTAATATAATAAATATAGATAGTGATACTTCTATTTATAACTCAGAGATCTCTCTCTTAAACGGTTTAATTAAAATACTGTTTAAATAAATGTTTTTTATTGAAAATAGTATAAAAAATAACATTAAATTAAATTACAAAATAAAAATAATACAGTTGTTTTGCTAAAATATATCTAAAATTATTGGTATCTGTACACGACGTTTGTATTATCGTTGGTATTGTGTTGTTGTCTAGCAGGAGCAATCTGTAAATAAAAGTATTATAATATTAAAAAAGCAATAAACTCCAGCCTGTATGCTTTAATTTTTTTATAATTAATACCAAATATAAAGTTGTTTAAAAATACTTTTTTATTTGAAATGTTGTCAAACTGGCATGAAATAATTTTGAACTACCTTAATCAACTGTGGCTGTCTTGCTGGTTGTTGTTGTTGGTGTTGTTGTTGATGTTGTTGTTGGTGTTGTGGCTGATATTGTTGCTGATATTGAGGTTGGTACTGTTGTTGCTGAACTTGTTGTTTAGGAAGGGCTTGATATTGTGGCTCGGGTTTGGGTATTCTGACTACGATATCAGTTGGCTCTCTGGATACCTATGAAAAAGAAATTAAAACCAAATAAGTGATGCATTTAGATATGAAATTTATTAATATACAATAAGTACAACTCTATTTCTTAGTAGAGGCGAATAATAAGTAGTATTTTTGCTTCCGATGTTAAGCATTTTTTTCGTTCGTTTCGATTTCATTCGCGTCGAATTAATCATATGTAGTGGTGATGATAAAGCAATGCAAGAATTTCCATTAACATACAAACTGGATAAAACTTTTTTCCCACATTTATGTCAGCATGAGAAAAAACAATATGGCGTTATTATTATATAACTTGGTAATATTTGAGGGGTAGTTTCATCTCGTTGGAATTTGACTTTCAAAAAATCCGTTTGCCAAAAATAAGCTTTTTACGTCCAGCAGTTTAAGCAGAATCGTGGTTAATCAATTACCCAACTTTTTGGAACACCCTGTATGATTTTTTAAAAAGTTTCAAAATATGTAAAAAAACAAAATAAATTATGCGTGTCCAAGCGTTTTCCCGAAAGACTAACGGTTTTTTAAATAACAAATATTTTAATATTCCAGTGGCGTTTTCACCCTCTTGGAATTTGAGATTCGAGAAACCCCTCCTTATCGAACCTCTGCACCCCACAGTCAATCAGTTTGCCAAAAATCAGCTTTAAACGTCAAGCAGTTTAAGCAGAATCGTGATTACTCAATGGTCACATTTTATGAAGCACCCAGTATAAATTTTTAAAAAATCTTAAAATATGTAAAACAACAAAATAAAATATATGTGTTTAAGAGTTTTTCCGAAAAGCTCACCGGTTTTTAAATAAAAAATACTCTAATATTTTGAGGGGTGGTTTCACCCCCTTCGAATTCGAGTTTCGAAAAATCCCTTATTATCGAACCTCTACACCCTAAATTCAATCCGTTTTCCAAAAATCACCTTTTTACGTCAAGCGCTTTAAGCAGCATCGTGATTACTCAATGACTAGATTTTTCGAAACACCCTGTATAGATTTTTAAAAAATCTTAAAATATGTAAAAAAACAAAATAAAATATACGTATTTAAGCGTTTTTTCGGAAACTTGACCGTTTTTTAAATAAAAAAATTGTAATATTTGAGGGGTGGTTTATTGAATTGGAACCCTTGGAACTGGAATTTCGAAAAATCCCTTCTTCTCGAATCTCTGCACCCTAGAATCAACCTGTATAATGTATTTTCATTATTTCACCTCTTTCTACATGTTTCTTGTGTTAGGTTAGGTTAGTTAATTTCGTACATTTCGAAGAGGTTTTGTCTCTCCAATATACATGTGGTACCCAGCAGATGCACTCATTTTTTTATGTTTCCGGTTTTTTAAGACGCTTCTTAAAGTCATTCCAGTTTTGAAGAGAGTTTTAATGTTTCATTGACTGCCTATTTGTCTGATATTTTCTGATGTTCCTCTTACATATGAAATAGTTAGGAGAGAGAGACAGCATATCCCTCAGGCTCAGATGTTGCCCAATATTCAATACGTACGTATCCAATTTTCAACCAATACAGTCTATATAAAAAGAACTCGATATGAAGCACCACTAAAGTAAATTTCTAGGTGCCGAAATGAATGATCTCGACCAGCGGATATTCCGGTCGACGCCTATTCCAAAAGCGTCGCGACGACGCGCGTCCTCGCTCCTATTGTCATGCAAAAATGGGGGGTAAACCGCGCGACAATGGGGGGTTATCGGCGCTGCGATCGTCTCTCCCGTCCATTGTACGAAAACGTTCAATTTGTGGGGAAAGATTGGAATCGACAACGGGCGGGAAAATACGTACCTACCACCGATTGAAAAATGGGATTTACAATTGCAGGACGAGTTTAATGGATGGTGGGAATTCTGGTAACAGGATGTCGAATGAATTCTGTTACATTATAATGTACAGGGCAGTTTACCAAAGAGAGTTTAACATTACATTATATTTTTGTTTTTAATTTTCAAGAATAATGGCAGGAAATAGACTATGATAAGCACACTTCTTCTTACTGCGCTTTGGGAGGTCCTCCTGACGTTGACAATCACGATTTCTTGGGAGGAACTCGTTACTTAGTTCTAGTTCCTCCAGAGGAATAGTTCCTTGAACTAGATCTTTAGTTCACAATAGTTTCCGACTAACACTCTAAAAATTCAGAACATCTACTTCGTTTTATAAAATATTTCTTAATTTTAGGAACCTAAAGTGAAACATTCCCATAAAATATTCAAATAACAAACTAAAAATCAAAAACAGTATCCACGACAATTTTCTGTGGTAATTACGCCGGCTGTGGCAATAGACAAGACCGAATCCATCGTCGTCGCCTTGTATTATATCTCGGATCTGCCGACTAAATAGATTCCCGTGAACCAGTATTTTAACTAGTTCCTCTAGTTCATCCCAGTCCTTTCGGTCCGAGACAGCTAACATACACCTGGGACTCTCCACTCCCGCCAAGCATCGGGCTACGATCGCGTTGGCCGTCCACAGTCTTTATCCCCGGAATAGATCCTGAGGAACTAGTCCTTTTTGAAATCGAGAACTAATTCCTTTCGTTCCGGGGTCGAAATAGTTCATTGGAATTAGTTCGTTCACAAACTACACACTCCTAATCAGCGCAACTGCGTTTATTTGGTATTGTTCTCTAATGAATTAGCTTTTTTATATGACACCGTGTATATCCATATCTACACACTCTATTACGTACGCCCTTCGCTGCTGGTAGTCTATTCCATTGCGAACAGGCCCTTAATTCCATTAGCGAAGCACCACAGATCGGCGTTCGGTCTCTGGAGGGACGAGCGAAGTCCGGAGAATTCCCTCGGCTCGTCTAATATCGCCCGTGCCGGTTAATTAATTAGTGGATAATACTATTTGTCCCTGTGTGATTAGTATGTCTTGTATAGAGCATTGTTCTCCGATAGAAATAGTTGGTGGAGTTGTCGAGATGCGCCAATAGTTGTGTGGTTTTGGGAGAATATAACGTTTTACAATTACTATTACTACAATAAGATGGAGAAGGTTTAACATTAAAATATATTTTGTTTGTTATTTCTAAGGATAACGGCAGGAAATAGACTATGATAAGCGCACTTCTTCTTCTTACTGTTCCTTGGCTGGTCCTCCTGACGTTGGCAATCACGATAGCGAGCTAATCTAGAGGTGGGGATTTTAGTTCCTTTGTTCTAGTTCCTCCAGAGGAATAGTTCCTGGAACTAGGTCTTTAGTTCACAATAGTTCTCGACTAACATTGGCATCCCTGTTGCTTTCTAATGAGTTTCGTTGTCAGTCAGAACTATTCACAGTATGATATGTATAATTTTTAGAATGTACGGGGGGAAATATAACGAGACGTGTTACTGCGTATTTTAAAAACATATAGGTAAGTTATATTACAGATAAAAAAATTAAAAAAGAAACTCAAATCAGAGTTTAAAAAACTATATTACAAATCAGTGGAGGAAATAATACGAAAATTTTACGATTCAAGCTTTTACGTTACTTCAGAAATTATTTGGAAAAAGTCGAAATAAAAATGAAATTTCTACACCCTCTACCTCCGAAACTAAGCATTTTAGGACATACATTTATACGAACTTTTTTACTTATTTTTTTCTGTTGAATATGCTGCCGAAGTTTCCGGAATACATTTCAGACCACCCTGTATTCAAAATATTATCTATATATATAAATCTGACTGTCCTGACTGATACTGACTCATCAACGCCCAGACCAAACCCTTGACCCTAGAAAGCTGAAATTTTGCACAGGGGTTCCTTTTATGATGTATACGTAAGATAAGAAAGGATTTTTTAAAATTCATCCCCTAAGGGGGTAAAAAGGGGGGTGGAATATAACAATATTTTTTATTTAAAAACGGTCAAGTTTCCGAAAAACGCTTAAACACGTATATTTTATTTTCTTTTTTTACATATTTTAAGATTTTTTAAAAATGTATACAGGGTGTTTCGAAAAATCTGGTCATTGATTAATCACGATCCTGCTTAAAGCGCTTGACGTAAAAAGCTGATTTTTGGAAAATGGATTTACTTTAGGGTGTAGAGGTTCGATAAGAAGGGATTTTTCGAAATTCGAATTCTAAGGGGGTGAAACCACCCCTCAAATATTACAATATTTTTTATTTAAAAAACGGTCAAGTTTCCGAAAAAACGCTTAAACACGTATATTTTATTTTTTTTTTTTACATATTTTAAGATTTTTTAAAAATGTATAAAGGGTGTTTCGAAAAATCTGGTCATTGATTAATCACGATCCTGCTTAAAGCGCTTGACGTAAAAAGCTGATTTTTGGAAAACAGATTGACTTTAGGTTGTAGAGGTTCGATAAGAAGGGATTTTTCGAAACTCGAATTCTAAGGGGGTGAAACTATCTCTCAAATATTAAAATATTTTTTATTTAAAAACCGGTGAGTTTTTCGGAAAAAACTCTTAAACACGTATATATTATTTTGTTGTTTTACATATTTTAAGATTTTTTAAAAATTTATACTGGGTGCTTCATAAAATGTGACCATTGAGTAATCACGATTCTGCTTAAACTGCTTGACGTTTAAAGCTGATTTTTCGCAGACGGATTGACTGTGGGGTGTAGAGGTTAGATAAGGAGAGGTTTCTCGAATCTCAAATTCCAAGAGCATAATTTATTTTGTTTTTTTACATATTTTGAAACCACCTGCTTGATGCAAAAAGATTATTTTTGGCAAACGGATTTTTCGAAAGTCAAATTCCAACGAGTTGAAACTACCTCTCAAATATTACCAAATAAGTTATACAGGGTGTAGAGGTTCGATAAGAAGGGAGTTAAGTGCAAATATTTTCAGGGGTTGTATATTTTGACCCCAGGAACACGGCTATGAGTTTTTTTTCGCAAAAAAAAGATGTTGAAAATCGTGCATTTTCTTTTAAATTTCTCTGTATATTTTTCGAAAACTTTTTAGAATTGCCTGTTCACCGCAAATTTTCCCGCGGTATAAATTCTTAATCTCTGATA